TATTCTGTCTAAGGCATCCTTGATTTTAGCAACTCTAGGTTTGAATTTGTTCTTCAGTTCCTTGAGCTTAAGAAATGCTGAACTAGTTCGGCCCTTTTGATTTTCCGACTCTAGCTCCTCGCACATTTCATTGTAATATTTTGCTTTGTCATTCTGTGCTGCCTTTTGGAATCATCTGTTCAGCTTTAGTATCTTGAATTCTTCCTTGTGCTTTGGCTTCTCTGCGCTCCAGTGCAATCTTCAGAGTTTCTTCTGACATCCATTTTGGTCTTTTCTTCCTCTTCTGTGTTTGTAATGACCGTCTGCACTCTTCCTGGATGATACATGTGGCATCCTCCCACAACTCATCCGGTCTTCGCTCATTGGTGTTCAAGGCCTCAAACCTGTTCCTGAGATGATTCTGAAATTCAGGTGGGACGAAATCAAAGTCATATTTTGGCTCCTGTGGGTTCTGTTTAATTTTCCTCAGCTTCAGCTTGAACTTGCATATGAGTAGTTGGTGGTCTGTCCCACAATCAGCTCCCGGCCTAGTTTCCACAGCTGATATTGAGATTCTCCAGCGGTTTTTTCCGCAGATGTAATCGACCTGATTCCTATGGTAGCTCCTGAAATTCTTCAGTTTCAGTCAGTTCTATTTAGTACAGTGATTCTGTGTATTCCCTCCATCTTCTTTTGATGCGTTCTTGGTCATTCAATATATTGCCCACGCATCTTTCAATATTGTGACTCAAGGTTTAAATTTGTTTTTCTGTTTTCTCAGCTTGAGAAATGCAGAGCGAGTTCTTCCCTTTTTACTCTCTAATCTCAGTGCTCTGCACATTCTATTATAATACTCTGCTCTGTCTTGTCCAGCTGCCCTTTGAAATCTGTTCAGCTCTTTTACTTCAGTATGTTTCCCCTCCATTTTGCTTCTTGATGCTCTAGTGCAATTTTAAGTCTCCTCTGACACCAATTTCATTTTTTTTTCGTTCTCCTTTGTTTGTAATGACCTTTTTTTCTTTCTTCATGGATGATTTCCTTGATATCAAACCAAACTCATCTGGTCTTCGATCACTGGTGTTCAAGGTGTTAAATCTATTCTTAAGATGATCTTCAAATTCAGATGGAAGAGATTCACAATCTTATCTCAGTTCTAGTTAACTTATTTTCATTATTGTAGGCCTCAATTTGGGTCAGATCAATAAATGCAGATAATATAGGCTTTTTGAACATGAGAACCTAGCCAAAATAGTATATACTTGATGTCATAAAATGGACCTCAACAATCTCAAAGATGAGCAAATTGAGGATTTTCAACAACTTTTTTTCATTTGCACGGATTACTCAATTAACCAAAATGCTCTCATAATTAGCAGTTACCAGAATGTGAAAATTGGAAACTAATAAAAAGAGAAACCACCTGGAAATAAGGACCTCGATGTCAGAAAATGATAGGATAGAGTTTTACAACACCAATTCCTTATTCATTGCAAATACACTTTCCAAAACAGCATAAAAGGTGACTATGACCACAGACCCCACCCAATGGAATAAACAGAAATTGAACCTATAACATCTGTGGAAAAAGCTGATAAAGAAGTTTAGTATCATCAGTCAGAACAGAAATGGAGGCTGAATTCATTCAGAACCAACCAACAGTTGCTCAGATGTCATTTAAAGAGGAAGCTAAAGAAAATTAAAACAATTGCACAAAAATCAAAATATAGAGTGCCTCCAATCTGAATTTAGAAATCATTACCATAATACAATTGATGTATTGAAGACTAATATTTTGTGCATAGGATCACTATGTATGGGAACTAAAGTTATGACAATAACAATAACGAAATTATCCCTAGTTAATACATTTATTATTTCAGTGGGCTAAATTAGAAAATAATGGTATTAAAATTAATTACTCAGACAAGAGAGCAAATGAAACACAACCTAACTAGAGGAAAGGAAATAAAAGGGCAGAGATATTTGAAGAGAAAAATATTAAGATCTGTTGTTTTTATCTTTAAAATTTAAAGAAAATAAATAGAGTCCTTTGCAAGACAAAAGAAAGTAGACAAGAGTAGCACCACCCTGTCTGGTTTTCGAGATAATAATTCTTCACAGAAGCAGACTGCATAATCTTTATCCTGCAAAGCAACTGGTAAATTTGCATCACTAGACCCACCTTCTGGATAGCTGTGGAGCACTTTACGTCTGCATCACCAAGGCTCCTACTTTGGATGTTCAACTCCCCTCACGGCCATAGAGTCAGAAGCCGCTCCCAGCTGACCCTCTGTTAAACTTCCCTCATGGCCATGGCGTCAGAAGCAGCTTCCAGCTGACCCTCTGTTAAACTTCCCTCACGGCCATGGAGTCAGAAGCCACTCCCAGCTGACCCTCTGTTAAACTTCCCTTACGGCCATGGAGTCAGAAGCAGCTTCCAGCTGACGCTCCATCAGATTTCTGGAGGCTGTAAATCACACTGGAGGAGACTGTCCATCTTTCTCCAGAAGAGCTGCTGCTGTCCTGCAACCTCTACAGAGGCCTAACTCTTGGGTTACCAGCATAACTCCCTATGAACGACTCCAGTAGAGTGCCCTACTTTAGACACTAAGGACGTTAAAATCATTTAAAGGAATTCTCGGGGAAAGATATCAAATTTGGAAAGAAGAATTCACGTTGAGACAGAAGAACTGACACACTGATTGCAACAGTCGGTTATACATGGCAGAGATTGTGAAGACAGGTCAGAAGAAGGCCAGGTTTCGGTTTGTTCAAAGGTTCCTGTGAGTTACAACTGACTCCATAACACTAACAACAAGAAGAAAGAAAACTTCATGCCAATAACATTAGAGAAATTAAATGTAATGAACAAATGTCTTAAAACACATGAATTACTACAACTGGCTAAAGAAGAAAGAGTTATTCTCAATAGCCCTTTATCATGAAAACATTTGAGACAGAATGAAAAACTTTCCCACAGAGAATATTAAAGGCAAAAGTGACCTCACTGGTGAATTATATGGAATATTTAAGAGAGAAATAAAATGAATCTTACACAAAAGGACAAAGTAATAATAATAGTAATAAAGAGGAAAATACAATGCCCCCTAAATAAACAGAAAATACAAATTCTTGCAAAGCTTTTATAAATAAGCTGAGCATTTGAATATAAATATTTAAGTGCACAGATATTTGGGGTTTTTTTATTACTTTCCATTGATAATTACATTATCTTATAATGTACTCTAGGGAGCTCTGGTGGCTTAGTGGCAAAAAGCAGCACTGCAATCCTAAAGGCATGTGGTTCGAGGCCACCAGGCGCTCCAAGGGAGAAGGATGAGCAATCTTCTGCCACATGATTAACTGTCCCTAAATAACCCCTGGAGGGTCAGCTAGGGGTCAGCTGTGACTCAATAGTACACAACAACAACATAATGTACTCTAGAAAGCATCCCATATAGAAAGAAATTATTACAGGGTGACAATATGTATACTATATGTTAAAAATAAAGATACAACTGACTGCTAATTATAAAAGCAGTGAACGTGTAGACATATGTTATGCATGATGTCAGTACATAGATGTTACTACATCATCATAAAAAAAATTCATATACTTTTTCACTACTGCCACTTCTACATTTTCAATAATAGGAGAGGAGAAATTCCCAAAGTAAGTATAAAGTCTATTCAAGAACCCTGAATAATAACAGCTGAAATACAATGTGCTTTTTTTCATCTCTAATCACTTATGAATGTAGTTCTTCTAGTGGTTGCATGACATAGTATCACCAAAACAAAAATTAAACTCTGGCTTGTTTGTTTCTTTTAGGTCAAGACTTACAAGAATTTAAAAATGCAAAACACCACCACTCTTCTAATTTATTTTAGAAAATTGTATGTTTAAATACACAAGTAAAATATTTTCATGTTAAAATGTAAACATGGGTTAGTAATTGCTAATTAAAATGTATAAAGTCTCAGTCTTAATATTTTAATATACAAAATAATTATAACAGATGCAACATTACAAAGACTCTGTGTTCACAAAACATTACGAATCCAAGTGGTCCTCTTACCAAACAGTCAACTGTATTTGAAGTACAGTCATCAATAAATAATGGTTGATCAGAATATTTAGGAAGAATAATCCTGATTATCAAAATGAAAAACTTATCACTTATTTTTAAAAGGAGTATCATATGCTAATGTTTAGTTTTCTGGGGTTTTTTAATGAGCTAGTATATCGTTCCTTTTTATGGTTCTTACATTAATAAAACTGGACAATAAAGAAATGCTCTAAGGCCAATGGAACATAAAATACGAAGATGAGTCCCGCACATAAATGTTAATTTTCATTTTCCTATCATAATGTACTTCTTGTATTACTGAACCATAAAGTAGTATTTTATGTCTCTTGTCAAACTTTTAAAAATCATATCTTGCCTACATACTAAACACGTTTACCTCTGTCCCTTCTCTTCCTAACTCTTCTTGCCATTGTCGCTATCAGGCTTACAACACTCTGACATGTAATCTACCTATTTGTTACATTTATTTTCTATCCTCTTTTCCAGTAAAATCTACACTAAACAAGGGTAGGAATATCTTCTGTTTTATTCTGCACCTAACATATGCACAAAATAAATACTTTTTGAATGAATTAATGGACATAATGACGAAGAAAAACAGAAATTTTGACATCCTACTAAAGAAAAGGAAATAGTTCTTCCCAAAGAACACCTGTAAACAGTCATTAGGTGCATGTGCTGCAAGCACACTGAGGAAAAAATTCCATCTAAATGCACAATAAAGAGGACCTTTCAGGAAAAACCATATTCTAGATGCAAATATGAAAACAGTCGAGGAGATAAGAGAAAACAGACAAAGGAAAAACACTGTTGTTGACATACTCGCAATATGGAATAGTAGGAGATGAAGGATGCCTTTGTTTTCTTCCAGCCCTAGGATTTAAGGAGCATAAGCAAGGAAAACTAGGAGTAAGAGTAGCCAGCACACACCTCTCTTCTCCCGATGTATTTCTTCTAGAAGATGCTCCTGTCTTTCTATCTGCTCGAAGAGATACTGGAGCTCAGATTCCTTGTTGTCAGTCAGGAACTTGAGCTGCTGTCTGCACAGTGTCAGCTGGTGCCGTAGATTTTTCTCTCGGTTTTCTCGTTCTTTCAGTTCCTCACAGAGCCACTGAAGTTTAGTCTAAATAGCAACATTGATAGCTGATTAAAATTTGTAAAAGCCAGAAATGTGAAAAAAAAGAAAAAAAAAGAGAGAGGGAGTACAAAACTAAGGAAGAAAAATGAAGTATCATCCTGGTGATCTGAGTAAATAAGAAAAGTAAAACAAATAATAATAATACTAATAATATTTTCATTTGTATATTGACATATACCAATTAAAAGTGCAGATCAAGCAATGATTTTCAATAAAAGCATTTGTTACATCCTATTGTCTCTGGAAAGCCACTAGTAAAAATTAGTTGCTTGCTAGACTGCTAATTCTGAATTCTGTGGAGTTAGAATATTTAAAATTAGAATGTATTTAATGCATTATTTTATAAAATTATTTAAGACAATTTCACTGGTGAATAGAGATATGGGTTAGATGGAAAATTATTCTAAAGCATTACTCCTTAAACCATTCATTGAATTGATATCTAACTAGGAAAACAAAAAAGATCCTACATTGTCATGCCACCTTTTGTATTAAAAAACCCAATTTCAATCAAATTATATCTGCCATGCACCTCATCAAACTGCACCATTTTCTCAGGAAAAATAAATAAGTAAACTGAAAACCCCAGTGAAACATATTATTGATATTATGCAAAGAGAAAAATACAATGGTGAAATCTATACTTTCTAGCAAAGATCTCTTTTAAACCATGTTCCTTTCTGGTTTCTATGACACCTCAAACACACACACACACACACATACACATCTTCAGCCTCCTATATTAATAAATGTAGCATACTAAAACCTCAAGACATTTTGGGGAAAAATAGAATTTGAAAACATTCATGTGTTTGTGTGTGTGTGTGATCAAATCAGATCTGACTAGTACAGGAGGAGACTGTCCCTCCTTCTCCAGCAGAGCATCTGGTGGATTCAAATTGTTCATCTCTGTGACTGCAGTGCAGCTTCTTGCCACAAGGCCACCAGAGCTTGCCTGAAAACATCCTTGAATTCAAAGTTCCTTGGGAACATACACAGAGTATATGTGTTTGTGAACATGTACCCACTAGAAGCAATATACTAGATGGGTCTCCACTCATAATAAGGTCTCTATCATAACAGTTTACACATGACACACAGTAATATGAAAAATGGGATGCGTTTATAAAACTAATACATTAAAAATTAAAAATAAGAACTCGTAAATGTTTCTAAACAAGGAACTCCCCAACTAGTGAGTTCTGGTGGCACAGTGCTTAAGTGCTATGCTGCCAACCTGAAGGCTTGTGGGGGAATCCACCAGCTGCTCCACGCAGTAAACATAAGCAAGCTCTGACCTTAACATTAACAGTCTATGAAAACCTGTCAGAGGGGCAGCTATGAGTCAGTTTCAATTCTAAGGGACCTTACAACAAATACAGCATCAAGATTGAAGGACGACTCATCAACAACCTCTGTTAAGCCGCTGATACACTATACTTGCTCAAAATGAAGTAGACTTGAAGTACTTAGATCAAAGATCAAAGAACCCAGTCTTCAATATGGATTACATCTCATCATCAAATAACAAAAAACCTCACCACTAGATTAATAGGCAACATTATGATCAGTGGAGAAAAGACTAAAGCTGTCAAAAATTCCATTTTACTTGTATCTATAGTCAACACCCACAGTTATAGTCATCAAGATAAAAAAACCTGCAGCATTGGGACAATGTGCTATCAAGGACTTCTCCAAGTGATGTGAGTTTAAAGAGTAAAATGTGCTTGATCCAAGTCATAGCCTTCTCAATTACTTCAAGAAGATAGATGCATTTGAGTTGTGGTGTTGGAGAAGAGTACGGAATATCTCATGAACTGCCACAGAAACAAACAGGTAAGTCTGTTCTGGAGGGAGTAGAACCAGGATGCTCTGTAGAGACAATGATAGTGAAATGCCATCCTATACACTCTGGACATGTTGTCAGAAGGGACTAATCCTTGGAAAAAAGACATGATGCTGGGAAAAGTGAACAGAGAAAGAGAGGAGACCCCCAGACAGATGGACCGACCCAGTGACTCTTTTAATGAGCCCGAGCATATCAAAGATTATGATGCTAGTACTTGTTCATAGGGCCCCCTGTGAGTCACCCCCCATGAGTCATCTTTGACTTGAGGGCATCTAACCGCAACAAACTAATAACCATAATCTACTTGTCAGTTTGCCATGTACAGGTGGCTAGTGTGTTGCTGTAGAGTTGGAAGTTATGACACCATCAAGAGAAGCCACGATAGATGGATTCTAGATGAACTAACTGGCAGACATTAGACTAGAAAGAAAGTGCAGATAACCTACTTCTGAAAATTAACCAATGAAAATCTAATGGATCACAAGAGATTAACTCTTTTTCTGTGAACACATCATATGAAGCTATTACTCACTAGAGGAGAGCATCATGTGTGGTAAATGCAAGAGCCAACTAGGATGCAGGAGACCCTTGATAAGAAGGGTTGGCACAGTAGCTACAGTGATGATCTCCAAAATGGTTTGAGTTACTGTGAGGCTTAGACAAGACCAAGGAATATTCTGTTCTTTCATCATATTTTAGGTTATCAGGAGACAGAGTCAACTCAACAACAGATATTTATCTACATGGTTACTTGAAAAACTAGAAGGTCAAAGAAAGAGAAGACCACCTTCAGTGACATGGATTGACAGTGTCTGCAATGATGAGCTTGATCATAGCATATATTGAGAATATAGAGCAAAACTAGAGCAGCTTTCAATCTTTTGTTCACTAGAAGGAATGAGTAACAGTCTACATGACAGCACCTAACAACTAGCAGTTATGTTTTTAGAAACTGAGCCGTAATTCCATGGAATTCACCATGGAAGGATAAAGCTTAATACTCGGCACCATCTAGGCATCCTCCTTACCCATTCTCAGAGGGCAGTTTGAAAATTTCAGCCTCTGTTCAGCTGAACAAAAGTTCAGCTTAGTACTTCTAAATTAGCTTCAAGGATAAAGATATTAAGCACTAAATGTCACAATTTAATGATAGCTATAGTTCCTATATTCATACTGCAGAATTGAAAACACCAAGAAACTAAAGTATTTGCAAAATTATCAAATACTTTGTACTGAAAAAAATCCTCCAGCATTCCAAAGATTTGTCTTACATCAGATACTGCATAATATTATCACAAATTTTTATATATTAGATAGTTTATATTAGTTTGTTGGAGCTAACAACAACCTATCAAAGGAATAACGAGGAATCCAGGTGAGTTGCCATGATTGAAAGTACTAGTAACTCTATGGGAGAAAATCAATTTCTACTAGATCTACAGCCTTGAAAAACCTGTAAGAGGGTCACTAAGTCAGAAATGACTCATTAGTAGTGAATCTGAGTTTTAAATAGTTTTTAACGCAATAAAATGAGTTTGAAAAGCTGAAGAAATATATATGCATTATACAAAACTAAAAAGGAATAAACTTGAAGGAATGCATTTTAAAACCATAAAAAATTGGACATAGATTAATAAAAGATAGGAGGTTCACATATGACACCTGCCTATATAAGCAGCCTTCTTATTAATAGGAATATCACAGGTTCTAGGGACACATAACTATTAGCTTGATTTTGCTTAATTTAAATATAGTGGGTTTACACCTGAGACGTCAGATGTAAATATCTACAATGTGAGATGCATACCTCAATGAAAGAAATAGGATAGCAAAGATGTTCTTTTTTGGTTTGCCTTTGAGTGTGCCACTTATCAGGCTACTTTTGTCTGGACGTGTTTACTTTCTTAAAGTGAATTTAAGACGGAAAGAAGAACGCAAACGTAGTGATAAAAGAAAAATGTTCCTTTCCCCGCATGTTGCAGTGTGATGACATAAGACGACCCTTCTTTGTGCTCAGTTCTATGGTTCTACTCAGCTTGAGCTGTTTTCTACCACATGGGGGGGGGCGGGGAACCCAATGTTAATCAGTTCTAATGTCTCCAAAGGAAATAATTCTTTCTACTGTAGCTACAAATGCCTTATTTTTCAAAAGTGTGTTATCCACTCATTTTTTTTTTCAAAACCCACGAGAGCCAAGTAAAATGAGCCCCTTGGAGTCATTCATTTTAATTTTCCAATTTATTCAGTTCTTATTTAGAGCTATACTGGCAAATTAAAAAAAAATACATTGCGTCCTGCTTTCCTCAATATTTCCCCATCTTGCTCATCCCGAACTCATGTCCATCACATCCGACCCATAACAACCCTCCAATGGGTTCCTAAGACTGTAAATTGCAAAAGGAAGAGACTGTTCGTCTTTCTCCCAGGGAGCCGCTGGCAGCTTCAAACCGCGGGAACATCTCAGCCTTTGGTTAAAATATGTGCTTAACACAGAGTTCCCACTTTCCTCACTCCTGATCATTGGTGCCTGTTAACAACCTACGGTCACCACCATTATTCCTAAAAGGGATTCATAAAGAAACAATAAATCTAACTTGGTCTTAATAATAATCCAACTGCTTCTAATAACTACAAAGCATAGTAAACAACAATGGGGAAAAAATATTCCTGAACAGAGCATTAATCAGGTTTGACAAGCCTTATGGCTCTAGTTTATTCCAGATTAAATTAAAAGTAAGTTATAGTTAGATGATTGTTATTACATTTACTATATATACAGAATATATTACTCGTGCTACAAAACAAAATATCAATTTATGGAAATTTAATCAGTCAATAACACATTATGATAATAACAATTTGTTAGGTAAACACCAAGCATTTTCATTAAGTATCTTGGAGAAGCGACTTGTAACCTAGCATTGGAAAGACTTTAACAATTCCTAATAATAATTAGTTGACAAGTCTATTAATCACAGCACAGACACCATTCTATTAACCACTCACAAGAGCATTATGCAGTTACAAAACAGATTCAATTATTTAGCTTCACCAACAACCGTTACTAAATAAATGGAAATAGAGAAATAATTTATAAATAAGACTAGCTTTGTTTTTTACTTATTCTTGACTATTT